CATTACATTACTGGATGTTCAATTGCTAGCTACCGTCATTTAAGGATGAACCCCATTTCAAAACCATCTTATTCAGCTATAACAAGACATTAATGAATTCACATGATGACTGAAATCTCAGAATTACATTTAAATAATTCACGTTTTTGGGATTTCCAGGCTAAAGCTTAAACTACTTTGTTTATAATACTTTTAAAACATTTATTCAATTCGAATGCAAGAATTGTATTAAAGAACAATAAAAATACACAGACAGCAATCAAGTTGCAAATTGTAGAGAATAGCCGAAGCAAAATAAAATGAAATTCTGGACCTAAGACAAGCTTAAACTTCGTTTCTATGGAACTTGAATATTTTTCAGTGCCCAAAATTCCCCAAAAAACTTTAAATTTAAATTGTTTAACTCCAACAAATATGTTATTCTACCGAGAAATCTAAAGAATAAGTAAAAACTGAAGAAAAAAGTCGAGGAAGAAAAAAAAATCAATATTTTGTACTACAAAACGAGAATGCAAGTCTCCATTGCTTATCGTGATTGCGATTACAATTTACAGTCATTGAAGGAGTGTAGAAAGGAAATCCGAGAGCAATGCATGAGAATAATCCGAAGAGTTCTCGCTTATATTTCCTTCATTTTCTCATGGAATCGAATGAGGATGGAAGACAGGTGTTGTGTAACAATCTGGTGCATGAGAATTGAAATGCTGAGATGTTTTGAAAGTTTTGAGGAGGACTGTTATGATGAGGAAGTTTCTAGAGGCAAGGAGAGGCTAAAGTAAAGTAGTTTCTGATTGATAGGGTTTAAATTGAGATTGAAGTTAGTCAAGGTTAATCAAATAGCTTTAAAATTTACCAAATCTTGGTCCAGATCTAAAGGAAAGTCTCAATTAACATGAAAATCATAAAAACTCAAAGAAAATCATTCCAATAAGAATGATTCTTACTAATTCAATGATGGATTATTGGAAGAAAAAATCAAAAATTCAGTAGGGTAAACCATGTTGAAATTTGTGTGTTTTTGCACATGGAGATTTGATTTGCAATTAACTTGCCAATGACTGATGATGAAAATTTGCTTATGGGCTCAAAAGATCAATAATTGTGGGAATTTTCAGTTAATAATATTTTTTCAAGGTTATGCTGCCTATGGGAAGAGATATTTGACTTTTTCGATCAAATGTTGAAATTTGTGCGAAAAATTTTAAAACTTGTGCAAAAAAATGTTGAAATTTGTGCGTTTTTTTAATTGCAATCTTTGACATAATTGAAATTCTTAAATGCAAACAAACATTTTATTTACATATTTTTGGAGCAGAAATTGATATTTTGCTGAAGGAATTTGGAATATTTGAATAAACTTTAAACGAAATTAAGAATATAAAGCTGATTTGTTTCAAACCTTTTCCTCAAGAAATAATGCAAGATTTAAGATTTAACTCAGTTTGAGCTGGGTGAGTTTACAACCGTCAAAGGAACATCCATTAAATCAGCAATTCCTCCTTTTTTTGTAGATTTTATGCAGCATAGAGTTTTAACAATAGAAAGATGAGAATTAGGAAATCAACATGTTTTTATTTAAAATTCAAAAAATGAATTTTCATTTTTATCAGCTCTTATCAGGTTTTTGACTTTCAATAGTTCCATTTATGCTATTCTTCGTAAAATCCTATAAAAACATGAATTTCATACGTAAATAATATTTGTTGTTGACAAAAATTCCCATCGCTTTCTACGACAAAAAGCGCACAAATTTCAAAATTTATTAAAAAATTTCGCACAAATTTTAACATTTACAATCAAAAAATTATAAAATCAATTTTTAAAGCACTTCCAATGATTTTTATAACTTGAATTTTTTTTAAACAGTATAGCAATTATCAAATTTTATATTAAAACTGTGATTTGATTACAAGCACTGGTTATGTCCAAATATTTAAAAATATGAAAATCACAATTTTGTATGGGATTTTAAATTTTTCAAATTTAAAACTGCTCCAAGCTTTGAGACTGTTCAAAATGATGTAGAAATGTTTGTACAACCGTTTTACACAGAGCTGCAAACAAAATTTTGGCTTAAATGGCTTATTTGGGCTGATTTCTTTTTTATGTGAGCTTAAAAATTTCAACATTGCACAAATTTTAACATGGTTTACCCTACAACTTTTATAAAATCTCAAAAAAAATGTCAAAATTCATGAATTAAGTTAATTTGTCATCAAAAAATAGAGTTTACTTCAAAAGTATGAGAGAATTGAGACCCCAAAAGAGTACTCAAACCCAATATCATCAAAATCTAGACCAAAAGAGAAACCACTCCAAACGAACAATCCTAATGGAAAATCGAATAGCTTCTTATCCCCATTAAACCAAATTTTGTTAAATAAAAAGTGATAATTTACCAAAATTATCACCTTTTCGCTACATTCCAAGCTTACGTAATGAGAGAATTTAAAGAGAGAATACAAAATTATCAACGAGTATTTGTTCTACATTCTATAAATTATCAGTATATGCACATAGAATTCATAGAAAATAGAAGAAATAAATGGTTATGCTTAACAGTTTTTATGTTATCCACTCATTATTCTTACGTAATGAGAATATTTTTAGAGAGGAAAAAAAAACAGAACAGAGAGAAGAAAAAAATTTCATTTTGTTCTAAATAAAGTTCCCCGCAATCAACCACTTCTTAGAATCTCACTCGAGTCGATTAAAAAGTGTCTAATTTGCATAAATCCCCAACATTTCATAAGATGTCGTTCGTAAGTGATGTCTAGGAGAAGATAATTCTGCCATAGGTGCAAATAAAATTAATTTAATAAAAATCTGAAGACTTACTAAAGTTGAGAGTCTTAAAAATCAATTTTCTAGTTAAACATCACTCCCGTACAGTCCCCAATAAATTTAAATAACCGTTCGCAGAAAGATTTACAAGACTAAAATGCAGAAAAACCAGAAATATCATCAACACTCCCGTAAACACAAAGTTTATGGAACTCAAAATGAGACAGAAAGAGAAAGACAAATGGACAAAATGCGATAAGACGACAGACGACTATTCCCTAAAATTAAATAAGAGAATAAGAAAAGAAGAAAAAAGTTATTAAGTATCGTAAAGTAATCGATATGCACTCCCTAAGAATTTAATGAAATAAGCAGTTGAAGGACAATTGCTCACGATTACTACACCTGATCAATATATAACGACACATCTTCTCGCACACAATTATAAATAAAATAAAAAAAAAATGATATGTAAAGAAAGACGTCGCTGCTAATTGCTTACACAATCAAAACGAACGAAAAAAAAAATAATGAATTGAACATAGGCAATAAGGAATATCATACTGTTGCAAGTATTTAAGCGGCACATAACTCTACATCATTTTGTTTTATCTCTAAATGACTTTGTATCTCTCTCTTATGTCTGTCGGAACCCAGTACATACGTCAATTTGATTTGCAATCATGGTATGAATCATTAGACCGTAAATAACCAAAATAAGAAACAAAATGAAATGAGAACCTATTAAAAGTCATTTCATATTGACGCTAGACACAGTTTTTCCAATGAGACTTTTCCAACTAGGGCGTGGAATTTTTAAAACTCAATTTTTCACTATAATTCAGCACATTTTGTATGTATGGCAACTTTTATCGATCGCTTTTTATGTTTCGTAACATTTTAATCGCAATTAAAGGATGGATTATCAAGGATATATACGGAAAAAAATTATTATAAAAAAAACTTACCTCGAATTGCATTCCACACTTAAATTGTCAGAAACACTAAAATTTTGCTCACTTCTAAATGTCCTTTAAGGCTCACAATTACCCTGAACCCCTTCCGAAGCTCACTCACAATTGATTTTTGGTTAATTCTTGATATTTTTTCCCTGCTTTTGCACCAAGAACTTTTTTCCTTCACTCTTCCCTTCAATCTTTTATTTTCTTCAATTTCACAAGAAAAAAACGAAGTTATCAGCTTGCTTTGATGATGCAGAGTTGTAAGTTGACTTCTACTTTTATTTTAAACGAAGATTTGAAATTTTTATAATCGTTTGGGATTTTTGGGCGTAGTTTTTACTTCTGATTGGTGGGTTTGAGTATAATTAGTGGATTTATGACTTAAATTTGGAGCTCAAGTTTGAAAATTTGATAAGATTTTAATTGAATTGAATTATTTGAAAACCCCCAAAAATTAGATTTAAAATTTAATAAAAATATTCAGTTTTAAGCACCAAAACTTCTAGAATAATCATTAAAACTTAGAATATTAACAACTTTTAAGCACAATTCATCATAAATCCATAATAAGACACATCAACTCAGCAATAAAAACTCAATCCGCACAATTCTAACCTAATTTACCTCAATTTTAATAATATTTTATAATTTCCACAAAACGTAAACAAACAAGTTGTAGGCAATAAATTTATATGTCAACAATCTTTAACTGATCTTCAGCGCTTAGAAAGCAAACAAGTTTCAAAGCTGAAACAGCTCAAATGTCATTCGTGTTATGGAATAATCAGCTAAGACTTAAAATTCAATTTTTCTCTTATAAGAATCTAGTTGGTGTGTTGTGGTCAATATAATCGTATGTAATAATGGACAACAATGATGTCTGCATGTAAAAAAGTCATTAAAAGGTTGTCACCATAAAGTGATTACAAAAATTCCCAAAAACCCGATAAAAACAGAATTAACGGCGATCAAAAATTCAAATCATGTAAAATCAAATGTGTATTTAACATCCATACACACATGATTTGATGACACACAGAAAGAAATATCTGAGATTCTCATTCAGTCTCGCTCAGTCTTCGCTAGTCATTTCATCGGGAAAAATGCGTTTTCATATTTTTCCGGCAGTGCGTTAAAAGAAAAATTCAAATAAAAAAAAGGAAAAACTTTTTTTTCTTTCTTTTTTTATATTTTATAAAAGTTTTTCCACCACATAACAAGCTACTGTTTTGTACATAATATACACTAAAATATATTCTTTAAAAAAATACAAAAATTTTTTTTTCGGACGATATATCGTCGATGTCTATAATTTTTTTTAAACAATTCTCTCTTTAATATTGTGAGTGAATATCTTTTTTTTTCTTGTAAAAAAAAACTTTACGTGATTGTGCAATAGAAGAAAGAAAAAAAATGAGAAAAAATATGTTTTTGTTGTTGTTGTTAACATCTGTGTAAAAAAATATTGAAAAATCACTTAAAATCATTAATATCACTTGAAGTAATCAATTGAATTTGAATAAATTAATGAAATATCATCAAATAGTAAATGAATTGACGACTATAAAAAAAGGGAAGTAAGAGAGATCCCAATGTCTGGATTGATGATGATGAAAAGTTAGAGGAAGCTAAACTGAAGGAATTTTAAAGTCAAAAAGACATAACGCAGAGAGTGAAAAAGAAAGAAGAAAATCTTTTTTTTTCATCTTGTTGAGGTTTTTTTTTATTCTGTTGGATATAAATAGAGCAGCGGCATTAAATACGAGTGAGCGAATGAATGTATTTTTTCATTTTTGGATAATATACATATGCAGCAGTAACACAGCACACACAGTATAATATAAAATTGGGATTTGTAATCATCAGTCGGTGTATTATACACACAATTTCTACAAAAAGGTAGGGTTGATTGACTTTTGTACACTATAGTCTTTTGACTGTATACACAATTATAATTTTTTAATATTATTTTATTTTATTCATCATCATATGGGTGTATATTGAGAATATCGAGTATTACTAACTTTGAACATTCCGCACACTTCCGTGGTCAAGTTTTTTGATAAAAAGTCTTTTTTGAGGAAGTGATCGATGTTCAAGTTTATTAGATTTAAGTGGAATTTCTTATGATTTGTTGCACATTTGGCTGCACTCACTCTCTCATATACAGCACTTACGTTATTGTTTATTTGTGTTGATTCATTCGATGAATCACGACTGTCTCAGTATTTTTCTTAGGATTTAGATTTATTATGATTTTGAACTCTTTTATGGAATTAATTCAAACTTATATTGTTAATGTAGGTTTGGAAGTTTCATCATTTTGGTTGAGAGTTAGAATTTAGATTCTTTATTATTGGGATGACTACAGATTCATTGATCATTGGTTTAAGAGTAATGCATATATCCGAGCAGTACAAAGAAAGCGAAGGCAGTCATATGAAATCTATATGGAATTCAAATGAGCTCTGTTTTGCTTCCATATGGCTGATAAATGGAGTCTTATGCCAACCATGATAACTTTCTTGGATCATATAAACTCTAGGATTTGAACCAGTGTTTGTTGATTTCCAATAGCATGCTTCTAAAACTGTGCTATGGATGGTTACTCCAAAAAATGACCTAAACACGATGTAATAAGTAAATCATCAAAATAGGAGTTCGAATCTTACTTAAAACTGTAGATTCTATGTTAAAGTGCTATGATGTTCTGAAGTACAATAAACTACGACCAGCAATGAACTGCAAATAAAACACATTACAATCCTGATTGGTACAAGAAGTCAATGACAAAAGCGTTTTTGCCTGTAGAGGCGAAATGTCAGTTGTTTGATGACAAGTATAAAAGATTAGCTCGAATATGATTCTTTTTAAATCAAAATGATTATTTTTATAAATATTTTAAGTTTCTATTGCTTGGTCCACTCTTCTAACCATTTCAACCAACTCTATGTAGCTTTCAAACATTCATTTTGAATTGTGAATGCTTCTTTGATTAAAGTCTTAATTAAATAACATTATCAATTGACCAAATAGCACCAAATGTACACTAGAATGAATCTTTATGCAATTATAAATTCAAAGAGGATTTCGTCTCGATTATCCGACCTGTGCTACTCGGGACAATTTCAAAAACTTCTAAAATCTTCCTCAATTAATCAAATATTCAACCAAATCTTTTTCAAAAATCAACTAATTTTTCTCTGGTGAAATAAAATGAGAAAAATTCTCGGTAAACTTTCTTAATGCCCTTAAGATCTCTATAATAATATAAAAGTATCTCTTTTTACTGAATTTCTCATTTCAATTTCCATTTTTCCTCTGTTTTCTCACATAAAAAAGTCTTCTAAATCATTTTATAGCCGTCAGATTTTCCTCTTTCAAATCCTTTTCACCACCAGATTTCAATAAACCACTGCTCATCTTTAATTCATTTCCTGCCAAAATTACATTATTCTTTATGAGCCAAATCAAAATTTTTCCGACTCTAAATTCCATTACATTTAGTACCGAAGCACATCTTTACTTATTCATGTATGTATTTGTGTGCGTGTTCGTGAATGATCAAATTATAAAGAAAAGAAAAAAGTCTTCACATAAACTGTTTATGAAATTATCAGCATCAGCGAGAAATAAAATTCTCTCACTCTTTTTGCGGATGAAACACCCGACAATCAGTCATGAAGAACACGAAAGAAGACAGAAATGAATGTAAAGGATAATTAGTAATAAAATCTATGATGATGTTGCTTGAAAGCGCATTTAAAAGCTTAGGATAAATTAAAATTGATAAAAGATCTAAAAAATAGGCAGAACTAAAGACAACAAATAGATAAGATAGGAGAGAGAAAGACTGATCAACAGATATCTAAACAGCAAGACAGACTGAAAATTCATTGAAGGAAAGACGAACAAAATCAGCAGACATGCAGACAAACCTAAAGATCACGAAAATCAGCGACTTTTACCATTTTTAAAAAGTTGCGCTAAATAAAATCTTTGTGTATGAAGCAGTCACTCACACATCTCCACACCCACATTGTTTTCATTTTTATATTGTGTGTTTCATGTGCTCTTATTGTTGTATATTATGGAAAATAAGGAAAGAGAATGAGAGGGTAAATGATAATGCTTTTCATTGATATCATCATCATATCAATAAATACCAGAGAATATAAATAAGTTTCATTTAAGAATGTCATTGAGGTCTACGAAGGGGATAAAGACGAAGAAGAACAGCAAATAATATAAAACCTCATATTGACAATAAAAGTAATGAAAATGAAAATTTGAGGAAAGTTCTTTTTTGGTCGAAGTGCGGCTAGTAGATTTCAGGAAAATGATATTACGTTTTAAATGGACGAAACTTTTTCTTTTTGATCGATCTTTGTGCACTCTTGCTTGTTTATTTGTGTCAGAAGGAATTTTTCTTTGTTTTGATGGGCGGGATGGATGAATGGGTTGTTTTTTTTTTGGATTTTGGCGCAATGATTGAAGAAGAAAATGTTGCTTGACGTCAGTTTGGCTGGTTCTTGTGACTTTGAAAGGTGATTACTTGTTTGAAAGATAATTTGGTTAGATAAAGGTCTATTTAAGGGGCCGTTCACTTATTACGTTACGCATAAACACTTTTATTCGGCCCCTCCCCCCCTTGTTACATTTTGTTACAACTCACCCCTCCCCCCTCCCCCCCTTGAACGTTCATAATTTATTTTATCATTAAAAAGGTGGAAAATTTAAAAAAATGTTTTTTGGTGTGAATTTGTAAATAAATTTTTTTCGTGGACTTTTTTTAAAAGACAGACGATAGTTAGAACGTTACATACTTCTTGACACCCCCCCCCCCTTTGTTACATTTTGTTACAATTTTTCAAACCCCCCCTCCCCCCTAAAATTCGAACGTAATAAGTGAACGGCCCCTAAGTTGATTTGTAGTTTTCTATCCTTAAAATATTAGTATTTGTGAAATATAAGTGACAATGGATTGTATCAGTTTTTTTGTGGACAAAATTTGAATTTTAAAAAACCGTTTAAATCATAAAATTCATCATTTCTCTACAAAAGACGTCAAATTCCAATCACAAACGTAATTGGATATAGAAATCACACTTAAACCCACACAAATCACCATAAAAAGAACTTCCTACTTGTTTAACGACTACAGATTTCATTGATGCAGAGAATTTTCAACAAATGCTGACCCTTTGGGAAAGTTTTGATTGATTTTAAGGCATTATGCGGTTGGTTTATAAAATCTGATAAGAATTTCAGCATCATAAGTTGTTTATCTTTCCATTGGACCCAATAATTTCGGATATTAAGGTTAACTGTAGCTCAGGAATCAAATCAAACAATTTTCAACCCTTCCATCCTTCAAGCACTAATTCCTTCAAACTTTTCTCAATGAGATGATTATGATGAATTCCCATAGCTGCTAAAAAGAGCGTTAAGGCGTTATCAACAGCATTTTTGTTATCAAGTGCCTAACCACTGAGTCATTGAGGAATTAAGGCACTTCCGCTCTCATCTTTCACCTTAACGATGCTGAATAAAAAAAAATATGCAAAATCATGAAAATGGATTATCATGGTGCTTTACAATTGAGTATTCTCATGTCATGCATCAAGTGCCATTAACACGCTCAAAAAAATTTTCATCAAATTGAACGAAATTCACACCAAATGGTCATGAAAATTCATCAATTTATGGATATAAAGTGAATTTCTTCATCCATAAGTTGTTTATATCTTCAAGTTCATTGCTTTTAGACCAATTACCTTTTGTTTTGCGTTCAGCGTCTTGTTTACACGATTCAATGACGAAAGATGTAAAAAAAGTCATCGAATAATTAATAAACTTATGAATCATCAATAGCTTAAAGGCATAACAAGCTTCATGGAATGTGAGATGTTTTTTACATCTTATTTTCTACGTATCGTTCCAATTTGTGATGAATATTTTTAGCTTCAAGGGGCAGAGTTTGTGATATAGCACGTGGATGGAGCACAGCATGTTCTCATGACAACATTAACGAGCATAAATCCTTGTGGGAAAATTTGTCCATTATTTTTTTTGCAAGTATGGGAATTATTTTGATGAAGGAGATGGAGAAATGAGCAATTATATTTGTTTTTGTGGTTTTGTAGTTGAGTGGAATCTGTGGTATTGAAGCTTATGTAGTAGAATCTGCTAGGATGAGAGTAAGGTCTTTGTGGTTTAGTAGTTAAGCAAGGATTGGCAAGTTTTTCACGTCATTCCAGTTCTTATGGTCACTTTGGGACTTTAGGAAGAAATGAAGGTCTGAATTGAATTTTTGAATGACTTTCATTGATTTGGAACTGTAAATTACCATTGATAGTCTACCAGAAGTGCCATAGAAGCCAAATTAACCAAAAACTTCACCCCAATCCATTCCATACCCCTATATTATTATACAAAAGTGTAAAAGAATGAATATTTTAATAAAATCGTGACTCATGAAGACCATAAACGCTTCCTTATTCCACCCTAGAGCATTCAAACTCATAACTTTTGCTACAACCTCAACATTTCTTTCCTTCACCTTGGCACAGCACTCACATTCAGTAAATTCAACAAATTAATTCTAAGGAAATATGAAGTCTTTGAGCTGTTTCGCACGAAAGATGAAAAAAAAGACCATTCTTTCAACATTTAAGTACTTGTGTACCTAGGTTACATGATTGTTTACTGTTTATTTATTTTTAGAATATAATGGCCACAAACTTTTGTTGTTTGCTGAAGAATTTTGATAAGGTTTCGTTTGCGATAACTTTAAGAATACTTGAAATTCGATAAAACAGCAAACTGCACATTTCATTTTCAACCAAAAGCATTCTTCTGACTGTTTTTTTGTTTCAATTTAAGCTTTTTGAGAATAA